TTTTTTTGTTTTTGTATTTGTGGGCACTGCTACCGTGCAAAAGCCATTTGTGTGTGTGTGTGTGTTTTTTTTTAATAGTGCGCAGCGTTTGTGAAATCGTGTGAAATATATATACATATATGTACATATATGCATGTGTAAGTTTATAAATTGATATAGTAAATTCAGTATTATATGTATGCACATACATACATACGTATATATGTACATACAAAACGTACAAATTAAAAGAATGTTCTAGTGCGTTTTTTATTTTCGCTTGTTCTTTCGATTCGTGGCGCAGCATAAAAGTGCTGCGGCTCCCCATGCAAATCCGTTATCCGTTGTTCACTGCCGTATGCACAAAGCGCATTGGAAGAAGCATAGAAAGAAGAGATGGTCAAATGGCGAGATGTTGGCGTCAAATCTAGCTGTTTCCATACATACATACAAACCTATGCACAAATGTATATGTATGTATATGTGTATGTGTGAATATCTCAATTAATTTCTCTTTCTTTCGGCTTTGTTATATATGTATGTATGCACATATATGTATACATATGCATATGTACAAACATATCTCATTTTGTTCCTCTTTCTTTCTCCTTGTCTTACCCGCTTGTACTTTGGGTTTTCCTTTGTGTGGAACAGATTATCTACCTCACTCACTCTAATTAATGGACAGCAAAATAAGTGTGTGGCTGCATGTGCAATTTTGCAAAAATACAGAAGCGTCATGTATGTATGTATGTAAATACATATGTATTTATATAGAAATAAGAATATTTATAAATATATAATTAAAAATTAAAAATATAGTTGTACCTAATGAATCTTTTTTTATGCTTGTCTAAAAGTGAACATTTATATATGTATGTATATATATATACAAATATACATTAGCCTACAAGAAATTAGCAGGTAAATTTGAATTATCAAAGTAATATCCGGCCACAGATAGTAAGAAAGCTGTTACCCGAATAATAACGTTATTTATATTGCCCATTTCTAGAAGGATATTTATTGTTATAGTTGCGTCTGCTTAAATTGTCTCCAAGGCTTGGTGCGTGGCAACGAACTTCTAATCTTTTTAAAAACGACATTTATAGCCTCTCTCGCAAGCAAGTTGCGTGGCTAAACAAGCTGCTGCTGCAATGCATGCGTATATCACATACCCACACCTGTACACAAACATACATACCCTCATTAGGTAGGGTTATGGTTGATCAAACGCATGACATACAGACACACATATACATAAATACACACATAAACACACAAGCATACATATATGTAGGTATATATGCTCGTATATATATACTTATAGAAACGTACCTACATATCTACACATGCATACAAACATGCAAATACAAATATATACAAGAAGCAAGGCTTATTAACTTACCAGCACAACACAACACAACAACACTTTTTGGACTTATAATTAAAGCATGCAAAACTGCCAGGCTTACTTGAATTTATGAGAATCAAGTAGGAGGGCCATATTTTAAATATATGCTTTATTCAAATTTATAACGCAGTGAATTGTTTAGGACCACATGTACACATACATATTAACAAGTGCACATATATACATGCGTACATACATACATACACTCATACAAAGTCACATATATACATGTCAAAATTTAAGTAAACTTGGTCTGCTTTTGGCATTAGAGAACATGCGTACATACATAAACACATATGTACATACATATCAGATGTATGCATACTTACATACATACATACATACATACTTTCATGCATTTTCGGGTAATTTTCGGCCGTCGGTTAGATTTGGTAACTCATACACACATACATACTTACGCTCACATGCATACACACATTCATACTAACTTATGTACATACTAACATATACAGACATACACAACATACACACATACATAACGTGCACACATATGTATGTACATACATACATTGGCCACTGACGCTGATTATTTTAATAAGAAAGTGGCGAAAAAATTATACATTTCCTATATGCAAGGGTAACGTGTATTATATGATATTAAATATAGTGCAAAATCAATTTATTTATTATATATTCTCAACCTCTATCTTTCTTAAACTAATTTTTCTAAATGCTTTCTTTTGCAGCATTCGCAAAAGTTTCATTGGAGTTTTAAAGGTTAAGCGATCATCAAAAGGCGATTAATTAAAATAGTAAGTACGAATGACATTATAAACAATCTGTCTCAATTAATTTGTGCATTTCATTGTACAACTTTATAAAGTAAGCTTAATGCAAACGCAGCTGCGAATGCATTTGGCAGCTCCAATTTGGCATCGCGCATTAATTTGCTGGCCGATTGCAGCTACAGAACGATGCGTCGTCTGCCAGATCATTCGCAGCTGAGATACCCCCCACTAATTGCTGGCAATTTGTTACATGCTGCCACAGGTACGCAGAACGTCTCCTCGAACCAGCCCAAAGCGACGAAGTTCGACGGGGCGTTGCTGTAATGAAATTTAATTATGTTGTATATCAAACTTATTTGCATATCAGGCAGAAAGGTTTTTTTCGCGAAAGATAACGAGCCACAAGCCACAAGTTAAACATCGAATTCGTTTCCTCTTTAAAGTATTTACTTCTTATACCCTTACGAGGGGTCTTTCAAGTTTTGGCAACGTTTAGATTTGATTACAATATCGTATAGCTCTCATTGGTGCTAAAGGTTGAAAATCGTCCATATCGTAATATTGCAACCATAAAAGTATTGGAAGCTTTACTTATATTATGAAAAACTATTTAATGAAAAACACATTTAGGTTCGGCTGTTCTTTATTCAAATAATTTGGCTGAAAGTTTAGTTTGTGTTTTTTGGCACTTGACGCCTGTTTGGCTAAATAGCTTAGCAAGAGTATTTTACATTCGGTCTTCCACTAAAGCTGTTCTTACTGGCTTCCTTGTTCTTTGCTTATTTTGCCTGTTGCGCTTCCACATAACACTTCGCGCACAATTTGTGTGCCTGTGTATAGGCTAGAGATACAGATACTGTATCTTGAACCGCACAAATTCATTTTAATTGCCTTAGTGCCAAAAAATTAGATTTCATGTGCAAAAAAAGCAAATCGTATTTTTTAAGGTTTTCTATTTTTGTTGCTCGTAAGTTTTGCGAACCCATTTCCCAGATATTTTAGCTTGTTGTTAGCCCGAGTCTTGAGCGGAAATAGTTTGTACATAGAGTACTACAGGCCGCACAACAATAACAATAACAAGAACCAGAACATGGCATAACTGTGCGTTGACCTTTTTTTACGCAGGGGTCTTTGATAAATGTGCAACATTTAGACGCGATTTGGGGCCAAGATAAGTATATAGAGTTTTTCTTTTTCGTTTTGTTTTGTGCGGAATGTTTTTTTCTTTTCGGGTTCGCCCAAATGTTGGTACGCTCAACAATTTTTAACTGGCGCTGCTTGTTAAATGTTTGTTTTTAGCATTTTTAATTGCTTTAATTATTTATTGTTTGGTTTCGTGCACCGCGCTCTGGCGACGGCGACGTCGACGCGGCTGGGCGCCAAATGCTGAAAGACTTAGGCAACGAACTTGGCCGCTCGCTCGCTCAATTTGTAGACAGCAGAAAACTTGGCAAAACAGTCGCAACATCTTCAGTTGCTTGCTGCGCAGATTTCAATCAATAAATCAATCAATAATTGTGAAAGCTGTGCACAGTGTCCCATCAGCTGCCATCAGCTAGCCAAGTGTTCCAGCTACAGCCAACTGGATAGCTACCCAGTTCAGATCGCACCAACTTCCCGTCCGTCCATCAGTCATACGCATATTTCAATTAACATTCATGCGTCGCATTTTCCCGTTGCTGGCCAGTCTCGGTCTGGCTCTGGCTCTCGTTCGGTTCCCAGCTGTCAGGCTGTGGAACGGCCTTTATTGATGGCACCACTAAGATCATTTTTGCGCCTATAGTATAACAATTACATTTTGTCAGCTTCAGCGGCAAAAACGGTAGCCACAGCCGCGGGTGCTTCAAACCAAGCGACCAGCCAGCCAACCACCCACCTTCAATTGAAAGCCAAACAATGGAGCCCCAACTGTTTCTGCCATACACACTTTGCATAGTTGGCAATCATATGTCTGACAAATCCCTTTTATGTGTTCATAAGTAAACTTTAAGTGCCCTAACTGAAATGGGCATGCGGGAATTTAAATGCAGTTTGTAATGACAACTTGTTGACAACTTTATAGAACTAAGTAATTTTATAGATTTTATAGATTAAAAGATACAAGGACTTTTAAAAAGTTAATATTTGGGCATGGATTGTCATGGATTGTATGGAGTGTGCACGATAATTGTGTACTTAAATTTGTAGAGTTATAGAAACAGTAGACGATGTGGCAAATTCCACCTGCAGTTGCGGAAAATTGGCGGAAAACGACTTTAAGGACATTTAAGATCGGCTTTAAACTCTTTTATAAAGATCTTTGTTCCAAATATCGTATAAATAATTAATATAAATTTGTCTAAAACTAACTTAAAAACTATTTAGAGGGTGACTATTAACAAGATCAAATACATTGAAGGCTATCCAACACTCTCTTAACCTTATCATATGATTTGATTGCTTTACAGGGCATATAATATTCGTTTATTTGATTCTCGCAATTTTTTCAATTTTGACATTTTTGTTAAGTCATCAGCGCAGACAACGGGACGTTTCTGGGACTGGTTGTTGTTGTTGTTGTTGTTACTGGTTGCTGGGTTGTTACCTGTGACTGATTAATTTGGCTATTATGGCATTTGGCTTTTTATGCGCACTGCCCCCAAGATTCAGCTTTACCTTAGCCCACCTGCCCACCCCGTTGTGTGGCAAACTCCGCCTTTGATCGTTGGCAGCGATCGATTCGTTTCGATCTTCTTCTGCTTGTAGCACGTCAAATATTTTTGTCGGCTACGACTCATAATAGCCCCAGTTAATTGCTAATAGCCAACGGTGCAGATTTCTATGTCAGGCACGTCAATGTGGTTGTTTTTTTTTTATTTTTTTATTTTGTTTAAGTATTTTTTGTCTTAGCTGCTTGTGTTGCTTATTAAAGTTGTTGTTAGTTGTTTTTGGTCTCGTAAATTTTGAATTTGTAATTTGCGTTCCACGCTCCGCCATGCAAATGTGCATGACGTTCGTTTCGGTTACAGTTTGATGATAACAAATTCATTGACCTAAAAGGGTTTCCATTGCGTACGCCTCATCTTATGGGTTTTTCGGGTTATTTTGGTTCCCAGTGATCAGATTTGAGCTCTGATCGCTTAATTGCCGCGCATCGAAATTTCTACGCGTGGCTGGGTGAAATTTTTACGATGATTTCTTTCGTATATTATCGGAAATATAAAAAAAAAAATAAAATCATTTTATTTAAATTTTGTTAACGGGGCGCGGCAACAACATTTCGCTTGCCCCACTCAAGATTTGGCAACGTCTATAATTAAATCTGGGCGAAATAAATAAAAACCATAAATAAAGAAACTATATATATATATATATATATACATACATATGCATGTGCGGATTGCAATCGGTAAATGAAAAATTTAAAATCACTTCATTTGTCAGTCGCTCGCCAGGTTGCAATTATCATAAAATTTTATGGCCTGCTCCACTTTATGCGCAGTTTCTGGCTGGCAAATGTCTGGGAACGCTTAAGCGCTGAAATTATGGCAAGCAAACAATAAAAACGCATAAAGCTCAAAATAATCCCGATTATAATACCCTATATCCATTGATAATCGCTACGGTGGGGTATTATGGTTGCGTGCAAATGAAACAGGCAGTTGGACAATCCGATAAAATGGCTTAATGTGGTGAGTCAATCGGTTCGTCTGCATAAACGAGTCGATCTCGAAGCCTAGAGAATTAAATTTTTAAATATATATATCATACATGGAATGAATTAAACCTTGGTTTACGATAGTTCTCTATCTTGGCATAACATCGACGAATATCGATTGTGGAACAATACTTTTAGATTATAAATTGGAGATAAAGAGAATTTGAATTGCCGACTCTCGTCAAATCAACAGTCTAATACCTTATACTTACCTCATCCCCCCGAAATTGTTGAACAAATTCAAATTTAAAAAGGTTAAGCAGTATTCCCTACAAATTTGTGCATTTGTGCAAGTAGCTCGGCGCTGGATACGTGGAATCTGCTAGTTGGGCACTTTTTTACTTTTATTGTTTCTTTTCTTCGCATTTTTTCTTGTGCCACAAACCGTAAATCACGACGGGGCACAAATATTTAGTATTAATATCGTAAATTGTCACAAGTTGGCCCCAATTTGCCCGCCGTGTTATAAATTTCGCAAGGCAGCGCATTGCACAGAGTAGCTAAGTGTGAATCGGAAGGGCGGCTGGGGGTAAGGGTATTCGGAACTGCTTGTGGGCGTCTTTGTGAATGCGTGCGCCATGCGAGCAAATTGAGTTCTAATGGTAATGGATATACATACATTTGCAACTCTCTCAATATTTCTTAAAGTTTGCGCATTTTCAATTAGACCTCTGAACTCTCGACTCGCCAGAGTCTGTCCGATCTCTCGCTGTCTCCCTCTCTCTCTCTCGTACTCTGTCTCTGTGTCTTGCTCTCTGCTACCATCCTAGCGTTCACTCTGAGTTCAAGTTGCAATCGGGCGGTTCGGCAACGTCGCGTTTATAGTGCGTCTGACAAGTTTTTCGTTTTTTTTTTTTTAAGAGGGTGTCTTGGGGCTTAAACTGCTTGTGTTTCGAATATTTTAATGAAGTCCATTGAAGATTGTGCGAACGAAATTGCATTTATAAGCTGAGCTTAGATTTTTCTTAAGTTTTTATGTTGCTGTCAGTTTTTTTTTTGTATATTTTTGTTGCCTTTGCTGTTGTTGGGCTGTAACCAGCGCGCGTTTATTACAATCTAATGAAGTCGAGCCTGCCACTTAACGGTGGTTAGAGCTGGAGCTGGAGTTGGAGGAGGTGGTGCTGCTTTTGTGGTTTTCTGTGCATTTGGCATTCGTTACGCAATTTTCAGCTGGAGCAAATGAAGCGTTTAATTTGACTGTGGCCTTTGGAAACTTTTAGTTTACACGCGTCGAATTATCAGTTAAATTTGTATTTGTTTCACTTTTCCTTGAGCATTATTGTTCATCAATCAATTGAGTAATATTCTATGTCATGGTTTGAATTACAGGCAAAGTATCTTGCATAATACACGATCTATAACATTTGATGAAGTTAAGGAAGTCCCTGTTGTTGGTTTTGTTGCGTGAACCTGAAAGATTGGAACTTCTGAATTGAATAGGTTTAAATAAATTAAGTATGAGCCAGCGTTACGCAATATGACAACTAAGGCTAAGCGATAAATAAATAAATGATATATATATAATGTTCTATACAATTTAGCTGAATTGACGTAGATAGTGATAAGCAATTTCTTCAGTAAATAGTAAAGAATTAATCCATGGTCTGTGGAAGAATTATATAAAATTGATTAGTCTATTTATCTGTCTATCTATCTTTTAAATTACTAACCGTTTGCCTGTATACACAAATATTGCATTAAAATATGATTTGATGACACATAAAAATATTCGATATAATTTATAAGCTTTGTCATGGATTTTGACGTACACCTGGACGATACTTGCTGCTTCCATAATGTCCAATGTGCATTCTGACTCCAGCTTGAAACGATTCCCAGGTTTAGCTGCAGCTCTCTCCCTCACCAAGAATTCAAGACATAATAAATAACCGCTGTCATTCATAATGTCAACAGTGCTGCCAACATTTTGCTGTTATCTGCGCGCAATTCTAACAACAACATTGTGTTCTAGCTGGCTAGCTGAACTGGGCTTAGACTGGGCTTTGGCTTTGCCTTCAACTTTGGCAACGGCTTTGGCTTTGGCATTGGCTTTAGCTAACATGGGAACGAGCAGAAGCAGCAGCTACAGACAAAGTGGCTGAGGATGAGGCTGGGACTGCGGCTGGGGCTGGGGCTGGTCATGTGTGTGAGACCTCCACATTGGCCATTCTTTTCGCCACATTTTACTTTGGCTGCTGCGTCTGCGCTTTGACATCTTACAGATCAATTCATGATAATCGTTGGGACCACCATGGCCACTGCAGCAGCAGCAGAAACCCACTTTGGGTGGAACGTTCGACGTTCGCATGCTGCAGACCTTTTTACCGGAATTTAACTGTTTTCATTGGAATTGAATTTCCAGGCTGAGAGCCAAGCACCAGCAGCAAGCAGAAAGCAGCAGGCAGCAGGCAGCGTCTCACATGTAATCGATATTTTTCGAGCCAGAAGACCAAAGTCTAAGACGACATGAACAAACGACAATGGCAATTGGTCAGCGCGACGGGCTGTGGGGGGTATTTGGCAAACTGGCATAAAGGGTCAGCGCATGTTGTGGCCGCTAAGCAACATGCCACCGTTTTGTGCAGCCCCGGAAAATTGTGGCAAATGAATTGATCCAAGTTTATTATTAGAGTGTGTGTGTGTGTGTGTTGGTGTGTGTTTGTGTGTGCTTGTGTGTGTGTGTTGGGCTACTGGTCTTGCCGATTATCATCGGCCATATCGATAACAGCGGCAAATTGTGTACTCTTAAAAATATGCATAAAATTACAGAATTAATTACAAGCAAGATCGCTGCTAAGAGAGTTGCCCAGACACAAAGTCGTTACACGGCTGCAATGTGAAATTTATGTTGGCTGCGAATGTAAATCATTTCGCTATGCCACGCTTACAACTGCTCTCTACCACAAGCAAGCACTTCAGCCAGACTCAACTCAACTCTACAAAACTCAACTCAGCTCAACTCAACGGCTCATCGAGCATTGCGCCCTCTAACCCTACATAAATTCAGCAGCAAACCGTACCGAACCGAGCCTAGTTCAGTCACTGCATCTAGGGATCTGTGGAGGCAACTGGCAACGGGCAACAGGCAACTGGCAGCAGGCATCTGGTAGGCTGGCTGGCAAAGACAGACAAGTGGCATTCGGCATTCCATTGCCATGGCACTCGAGAGAGCGGCGGCAGCAGCCCAAAAGTAAATAACAAAAGCTTAGAAGAACGTCAGGGCAGGCATCGAGTGTGAATTGATTTTTTTGTTGCCCTACAATCAGAGCAGGTACATCAACTTAGCTAAAACACTTGACAACTAAATACAAGTTTAAAAGCGAGAGTTAGGAGTCTAATTACGCTCATTAACTTAAACAATAAAGCAGATCACATACCCTCTTGATATTAATATTTTATGAATCAAAGAAATTCAAATTTATGTGTGTAGCTAACAATTGGTATTTTAAGGGATTGACTTGGAAAGTTTTGTATGCTTTTTGTGAGAAGCTCTATGCCTAAATTCCCTTTTGGGAAATACAAAATATACTATTCCATTTAGGCTTGACAGTTTTCGGCAGTTGCTTCCAAATCATTGCTCGATTTTATACGATATATCGGAAAGTAAATGGTTCAGGTATATGATCGACTGGTCTTTCAGGTAAAGGCTCGTTTCATAAATAATTTTAAATATAAAAAAGTATTTGTAAATATAAAATATGAATTCTAATCTTAAACAATCTCAGACTAAACAAGAAAAACAGATGCTCTAGTCCTCAAATCTTTCAAGTTTTCTTACCTTGATTCAGTTAGTGTATTTAAGGTTTTGGTTATATTTCGTTGCGCCTTTTGCTGCTTTGCTTTTGCCTGTGAGTGGAAGGCTGGCAGTCAGCGCAGCAGCTTAACAAACACCAAGTGCACCTGAGGGCCTCCACTGGGAACTCAGAGGCGAACTTATAGAGTTTACTGCTACAACTACTGGGCTGACTGTCTGACTGGTTGGCTGGTTGGCTGCTCAGGAAGCAAACTTCACGTTCACCACGCTACTCATCTGCATATGTTTCGGCAATTTTGCGCGGCCTGAAAATGATTTGCTGATCGCTCTTTGAACACTCCATCAATTCGTGATTTTTACGAGCGCAATGTCGTCGGCGTTTGGGCTTTCTCTGTCTCGCTCTGTCGCTCCCATGCTGAAATGGAGGCAACATTCGCTTGCCACTCGAGCGCATGCGCAACGAAAGCATCATTTAACGCGCATTTACCATTTGGTGGAAGTGCAGGGTCGAGGACAGAGACAGAGATAGGGACAGGGACAGGGTAAGGGTAAGGGTCTGGGAATGGTACTGTGACTGGGTCTGGGTCTGGGGAGCCATTGCCAGGGCCTGTGCGTCTTTTGTTTTTGGTTTTGCTCTCAAAACTCGAGGCTGGAAACTCTTTTTGCCATCATCCTGTCGGCTTCAGCTACTGAAGTAGCTGCTGTGCTTGGTTGCTGTGGCAACAGCCACAGGCCAACGACTGTCAGTCATTTGTCCCAGACGCGTCGTCGAGTCTGGCGAAGCTCATGAGACAGACCGCACATCCAATGGAACTCTTGTCTGCCTATCTTTATGTAAATTAGTTCAAGTTCGCGAGCAACTCAGACGTGACCTTTGCTTCCCCTTGTCCGCGTGCAGCCCCTTCCCGTTGCCCATAAAGTAATAATTTTGAGGCAATTGCAACTCGCATAGTTGTTGGGTCAGTATAAAATGAAGCTGTGGATTTAGGTCTAATAATTTGTATATTGTTTCCTTGGTACAATATAAATCACTCCATGCCTATTCACATTTGTGATGTTTCTTCTAGTAAGGGGCAACTTTACCAATTTCTTATGACTTTACCTTAGTAAAATGCAAATCAAAAAAACAAAAGGGATGAGTCCCAACTTATGATTCATTTAATTCTGTGCTTAATGTCCATTTAAGTTTATGCTCACGTGTTATGCTCAGCTTTATATATAACACTTGCTATCTGTGCGATATGTTTACCACAGAGTCCATTAATTTTCGATCTGGGCATATTAAATGTGGCAAACGATTTTTTAGAGCTCGCATTTAAATTTCGCTCTTCAAGCGAATCAACATAAACGTCTATTAAGTGCTTTCTTAATGGCAATATGTAGATACCCTCACTTAGTGTATATTAAAACTCTGTTCGTGCCTATGTCAGTCTCTAGTCTGTCTATGTATCTAGTCCCTTGCCCTGATGATTTCTTCTGTTTCGTTAAACTTTTATCGAAATCTCAAATATATAAGTTCTACATGCATTAGAAGCTAGGTTGCAAAAATGTAATCTTATTTACCATAAATTTGCATGAAATTTTTGTGTAGATTCGACTACTTTGTATACTTTTTTTTATTATTTAGTTCATTTTCCTTCAATCCTTTGATTTTAAGGTATTTTGAGTAAAAATTGAGTAAAGCAACAAATCAGGAGTCAAGTCTGGAAGGGTATTTAATGCTCGGTGCTGCATAGCAGCTGTTTCGCTTGCAGTTTTGTTGGCTAGAATAAAAATTGTGACCTGCAATAAAATATAAGTAGGTGCGCTTAAGATATAATATAATGTATTTGGATGCTTGTCTGGCATTACGAGCATAAAGGCCTAAAGTTTTTAAATGCGACCATCGAAGTTGTTGAGTGCGATTTATGAATGCATTAGCGTCCAGTCGATTGACTTTACAAACAATTAGCTGTATAGCTTTTTTTTTGCTTATCTTTTATGACTGGCAAATTTTGGTGCATATGCTGCATGGAGAAATGGCAATTAGACGAAACATTTAATTACCGGTCGTCGGGCTTAGATTAGGAGGAGAGTATGTGGACTCATTGTGTCCGTGGACGACCCACGCAAGCAGCTGTGGGCGGCAGCATTTTTTTCTGTTGTGTCTGCCTGCCACAGTCACAGTCAGCCACAGAGTGAACCTCAGGCTCAACCTGTGCCACAATCTGTGGCTGGTGCCGGGCCTGGCCTCATCCTCTGTGGTTGCTGTTGTTGCTGTTGTTGGCAATGGCTTATTGGTGTTGGCGTTGTTGGCCAACTCGCAATGATTTAAAGTGTTGCTTTGCATTACATTTATTGCCAATTGAAATTTGAAGTGCGTGAGAAAGTTGAAATGGGCTCCAAGTCCCGCCGAATGCCGTCTGTGGCCAGAGGCCGTAGCATGGCCCCCTTTACGCCATGCACCATGGCCCGTTGCCCGGTTGCCTGGTTGCCCGGTTGCCCGGTTTGCCTGGTTCGCCTCTTAGCCAGTTTGCCAGTTTGGCCTTTGTGCTGCGGGTTAATATGAGCTAAAATTGGCTTTGCTTAGTTTTGTGGTCGCTCGTTTGTGCGCTGTGATTTGATAACATTTTTCAGTCGGAATGGAAAGTTTCTTCTTCTATCTGTGGACTCTCTTCGGCTCGGCTCTGGGTCAGTTTTGGGTGCGGCGCGGAGCCTGCAGTCGCAATTCTATCTGTATA